AGATTAACTCTGAACGAGGTGTCTACATCAGCTTCAGATATATATGGTAACCATTTTCTGAGTCTTGGGGCAATGATGCTGGAGATGGATCTCGAGTGGAAGTCGGGGGTGATCATTTGCACGAGCTTGTTCTGGACATTTTTCCTCTGGATATCCTCGGGGAGCCTCCGAATGCACTTCGAGTCCTGGAAATCTTGGAACACTTGCCAGAAGAGGGAATCCTTCAGGTACGGGGGCCATCGATAAGCGATACAGTAACCATCACCGTCGAGGGTGTCTTGGAGCTGGGCAACTAGCCGAGGAAAGAGGTCAGAATTGTTGGCAACACGAAGCCGTGCAGCAAGGCTACGAACGCGGAGGTCACCTGCCTGCACCTCGAAGCCAACTTCCTTAAAGCGTGCAAAAATCGCCGGCGGAACAGCATGCCTCGGAGCACAGGTGTAGACTTGCAAGGCTTCTCTTTCTGCACGCAATATCTGGGAGGTCGGTCGGGAACCTTGTGACGCATAACCAGCTACCGATAGAGCATAGACATTGTGTGCGGTGATACTGCTGGTCAGGCCTAGCCCCATTTTCTCGATGGCGGGGGACCTCTGGGTCAGCTTGAGGGCAACAGGACTCCAGGACAGCCAGGGAGCGTTCCACCCGAGGAAAAACAAAGATATTTCCCGTGATACTGTATTTTGAATTGGTTGACACGGATCCCCAGACGCTTGAATTCGGCCCGGGCGGTCTCAACACTGCCAGGTTCCAGGGGGACGATAACGCACTTCTGGAGATTTAAAATAAGCCCTGCACCAATCCCATAGATACAGATCTGACGAACAACGGCTGGGAGGACGGCGTAGATGTCGGAGGAGGTGAGGTCCAGGTCGTCCGCAAAAACTGTGACTCTCTTCGGGACCTCGAGGGGTAGGCGGTGCAACCATCTCAGGAGAGGGTCGAGGGCAAACGCAAATAATATACCAGAGAGAGGGCAGCCCTGCTCGACACCGCGCAGGGCGGTGAAAGAGACGGGGTCCGAACCGCGAAAAGGAATGATACGCTGCATGTTAGAATAAAGGAGCGTGATCGCTGTGATCATGAACGTTGGAAAGTTGCACGCCCTCCAGACCCTGAAGATCCAGGGGTGGTGCGCCGACGGGAAGGCGGCGCGAAAATCGAAGAAGCAAGCTCCAGCTCGCTTCTCCCCACGCACAGCATACCAGTGAGCAAGATTGAAATCAACCTCGAGGACGTTATCGATGATTTGACGACCCTTGATGAAACCACGTTGGGTTTCGTGTAGGCGATCACGAGCGACTTCGGAAATCGGCGATGCGATCATGCAGCTAACCAGTTTGTTATCGGTGTTCGATAAAGCTATCGGTCTCGTATCTTCGACAGTTTTGTAGACGTGCTCCGAGTCCCCGAGGTCCCCTTTCGGCGAGAGGGCGAGCTTGGCAGCGTTGAAATCCGAGCTCATCGGGTTCCCCGCGAGGAGGTGTAAATACACATCATATACTGCTTCCTGCACAACAGGTCCTGCGGCCCTCCAGGCGCTGTAGCACAAGCGGTCGGGTCCTGGACTCTGGTGTCCGCGAGCAAATACTGAACTCCGATGATCGGCCAGCATTCTGGCGCAGGTATTAGGCTCCGCAAACTCGCTGCCGTCGGCTCCGATACCCCCCTTTCAAAGCTACTGTGCGTCGACTGGCCCTCCAGGCACGCGCGAGGCGCCGAATGCGGTGCAAATGATAATCGGCAGAATTCGCTGGCGAACGATCTGTCTGCAGAAGCTCACGTTCCTGTTCCTCAAGCTCAGCCCTCATCGTTTGACTCAAGTGATTATGAAAGCCCGACCAATGGGTGAACATGATAAGCTCGGGATCGTCAAACTCTTTTAAGACCGGGTGAGCTCGAAGGGCTTGCTGGATGCCGCGCTGAATTCGCCCTCGATGAGACCTAGCAAGACGGAGACAACATGCTATCTTTTCTTGCCGTGATGCAGCCACCGACCGATACACTTCTTGCTTGCATTGCTGACCTGCAGCGACCATGCATGACTTGACCTCGAGAAGACGCTCTGTGGGGTCGCTGCTAAACTCTTGACCGTTGACGAGCTCTTCAAAGATGCTGGCGTACGAGGGGCGCCTAAAACCCAGGTCGGCAGGAACACTTCACCATTCGGCTTCCAAGGCTTGAGGGAGAGATAGACAGGGGCGTGGTCCGAGGGAAACGAATAGTCTGCAAAATTCCATTGAGTAGAGCTAAGGGGGTTGTGGTCGAGGAGGTCGGCCGTGGGAATGTTCGTATAGATACGGTCAAGACGGGCATAGGAGGCAGAAGAGGTAGGAGTAGTCGTGATACGCCGGTGTGCGAAGGAGTCCTGCTCGAGCTCTGCGAACTCGCTAAAGATAGCCCTGAAGGCTCCTGCAAGCCTGGACGGAGAAAAAAGCTCAACCCCACTAGTGGCATCGTACCTACGTTCCCCCAGCTCGAGACAGTTGAAGTCCCCAAGGATGAAGGGGGAGGAGGAGGAGGACGGAGGAAGGGCACGACGAATAGAGCCAAACTGGGCTCGAATCCTGGGTTCGGGGAGGTCAGGGGCAATGTGAACACTGACTATGCTGAAGGTCCCCATGGGGTCCTGAGAGCTGGAGAAGAGCCGCGCGGCCAGGCACAGGTTCACGGAATACATATTGATTGGATTCCCGCTGCAGCCGCAGAGAGACAAAGATAAGGAGGCCTCCAGCATTCGCAGGACGCCCGAAACAGCCGAAGATGGTGTGCTGCTTAAAGTCGCGCTTGAGAAGAAGGAGGTCACCCTCGGTACCATGAGTCTCTTGTGCTGCTACTATGTCGTTATGTTGAAGAAGAGAATGTAGGGTGTGAAATGTATGCCGAATGCGCCGTTGGTTGGAATAAGCAGAACCAATAAGAGCCCGTGAGTTCCAAGTGGTGATCTTGAAGGGGTCTTTCGGGAAGTAGGGTTGGGAGGGGGAGGGCTGAAAGCTAGATGGCTCTCCCACTGCATTCGACGGCCCAGCGGGGGAGGGGGGCCCGGAGGAAGGAGAAGGAGCGGGAGCCAAAAGAGGCTCGCCAGATTCACTGAAAGCCTCAGAGATCTGCAGCGGCAGCGATGGCGCGGCAGCAGAGTGCGGGGAGGAGGAGCTACACCCCTCGCGCTCCTCATCCACTAGAAAGACTTCAAAATCAACTCCCTCTAAAGAGTCGCTCCTGGCTGGGGCGTCGGCCTGCGGAAAAAAAAAAATCAAAGGTCCCCGAGCACCTCCTGGATCTGATCAGGTGTGATGCCCCAGGTCGTCAGAGAGGCCAGATTCGGCTCGAACGTGAACTGGTCGCCTGAGCCCTGCTTCACCGACACGAGGTCGAAAACGTCGGAGTCGGAAATAACTTGCAAACCAAGTTTGTGCCCGTTGACCCCGAGCTTGCACGAGGCATCCCACAACGAGCTCTTCATGACGAGCTGCTTGACCGAGACGTAGATGCTGGAGAAGGCCCGCTTCTTCTGGCGGACGTGGAGTGGAAGATCTCCACGGATGCGAAGAGGATGAATACTCTGATCACGGAAGTCTTGCCAAGACATACCCGCCAAGTTCGCCTTGCGCTGGAATTCTTTGGCTGAGTCCTCGGTCTTGAACTTCAGCTTGTACACCTGCGAAATGCCATGGAACTGCACCTCCACGGCGTTCTCGTCGCCCAATTCTTTTGGGAACGTGGCCTTCATCTGTTCGAAGTGCGCCTGTCTGGTCTTAAGCAGCAGCGGGCGCGGGAAAGTTCCCACATATTTGACCCTTGGGTCGCCCTGCTCGATGTCACTGGTCAGGTCGATGGTAGAAGTGTCAACTCTGCGGCTCTTTGTACCAGCCTGCGAGAACGAACGAATCCATGAACCACCTGAAGCCGTACTGGGAGCAGAACTGCGCCCTGACTCAAGTTTGAGAAGCCGTTCTTCTTGACGTGTGACTTGCTCGCGAAGTGCCGTCAGCTCAGCTCCTTGCGCAGCCAATTGCCCTTGGATCCCTGCGGTCGACGTCTGAATCTCCGCGCGGAGGGTCGCCGTCTGCGCCTCCATGAGCTCTTGCAGCATCTTCCTCATAGAGCTGTCGGCCATGGCTGGGCCCTCGGCTGCGGGGTCGCCGCGCACGGCACGAGGGATCAGAAACGCAGTGAGAAAGCCTGCGGGGCCGCCTGTCGACCCCTGAAGCGCGGCTTGAGCCCCGCCACTTGGCTATGTCCAAGGCTCAACCGCGAGGCGGCACGGTTCAACCTTGAGCCAAAATGGCTACGGAGGAGGAGAAGGAGAAGGAGAAGGAGGAGGAGGAGGAGGAGGAGGAGGAGGAGGAGGAGGAGGAGGAGTTACGGGGTCCGCCGTGGGGTCCTCTTGGGGTGTTTTGGGGGCATCTTGGGATCTTCTTCGGGCGTCCTGGGGTCATCCTGGGGCCCCCTGAAGCGCTCCCGGAGTATCCCGAAGGAGACAAACCGGATCACCCAAACGTGTTTACAAACATAGTCTTGGTTCTCGCTTAGTGACCGTTTATTCTATGCGGCGTCTCGACATTGGGCGGAAAAGGGGGGCGGGGTCTGGCTCCAGACCTCTGCTTAGTGCGACTGTTCGCAAGAGTGCGGCCTCTGGGGAAGACGCCACCCGTTTGAAACAAGCGCCCCCCCAAGACCAGGATCTACTCCATGGGGGGAGGGGGGGGGGAGGGGGGGTTTGGGGCCCGCGCCGATCGGCAAAAAAATCATGAAAAGAGATCACCGATAAGGAACTGATTGGGTGCCCCAGGCTTTCCGCCCGGTGGCACCTGGCAGGCGCCCGCGGGCGCCCCGTGCGACGGCTGTGGATTCCCGGTTTTCGCCCTGTTGGGCGTGGCTTCGTGGGGGGGTCACAAATTGGGGGGGTCAGAAAAGGTCCCCTTTCGTGCCCCTTTCGGGCCCCTCCAGAGCCCCAGGGGGCTCGTTTAGGTACCGTGTTATTTTTGTTTGTTTGTTTTTTCTTTTTCGCCAGGCTAATGAATTTGCTTATTCGGTGATTTGTCAACATCCGTGGAACCCAGCATGGAAACCAGGGGATGGGGTCAGGAGGCGTAGAGGGAAGAGGAAGAAATGAAAAACATAAGAGGAGCAGAGAGCCACAGCCTCAGCCGCGGTGGGGCATGCTCGACAGGAACTGGTTGGCCCTCTGCACGGCGAGGTCGTAGAGTCTGCGTTCATGCCTCGTCAAATCTGCCAACACCTCCAGATGCCGCTCAGAAATCTTGCACGGCTTGTGGCCCTTATTGGCATGAACTTTGCTGAAACGGGTGATATTAATCAAGTCCGGGAACCATGAAGCAACAACGTCGAGCGTAAAAATGTTACTGATTATAATTGGGACGCAGTGGGCAAGGTTCATCAATGTGGAATTGAAGGCGAAATCCCACTCATGGCTTTCCGTGTCAGACGTGAATAGTGACTCATCGACCAGACCACTCAGCATGCGAAACGGCTCATTCATGCAGCTGTACCCAAACTGGGAACGACCCGCAAGAAAGAATTGTCTCATCTCATCGGCGCCCATATCGCCAAGGCAGTGAGGGGCACCCAATTTCAAGAATCGGTAATAATAACATGACTGAATGCGCGACACGGGTTCCCGAAAATTCGTAATACAGGAAAACTGCTCAACGCCCTCCGTCCACATTCCGTTTGCATCATATTTGCCACTCAGCGCGAAATGGCGAGACGCCTCCAACCAGGCCACGTGCCCGCCATACATGGCTACCCTGCTAGATCCGTAGTTATAAGAATCACAGGCTGCGGTTTGGCATTTGATGTGGTACGGCAAACTCAAAGTCTTCGCGGCGCCTGCCATGATGCCTCTCAGAGAGGTGCCGCCAGCTTTCCTCTGGTGGATGAACACCAGCGGGCGCTCCACGGAAACGTGATCGACCCTCGGGGGCAGTGGCGCCTGCAAGAACGCCCTGGCGGCATCCTCGATCGACAACGGAGGGGCAAGCGGACCTGCCCCCCCCGCTGCCGATCTGTTGGCCCGCGCCGCCGCCGCCGCTCTCGCCGAGCTGGCCGCCCTTCGATGGGCCCAACCTGATGAGGGTTGTACGTGCGCCACGGGCGACACGCGACATTACATATGTCACGAATGCAAACGCTCCAGTAGCAACACGCACGTACCTCAATCTCCAACCCCAACCCCCGCCAGCATCTGAGGGCGCGTGCATGTTGCCTTCGCGCGCGCCCTCGTCCGCAATACCTCTCGTTGGCGGGCCGTTGACACGACGGTTTGAAGCAAACGCGAAACTGGCCGTGTCCAAAATTGCTTGAGCCAAAATGGCTACGGAGGCTCGTTTAGGTACCGTTTGGGTACCTTTTCGGACCACGCTCGCCCTCCCCCCATTTATGACCCCCCCCATTACGCGGCGCCCAACCCTGTGTGCTGGCTGGGTGTTCCGAGTTTTCGCCCGGTGGGCGCGCGTGTTTGGGTGAACCAAAAAGGGGTCCAAATGAAAAAGAATGGTGCAATAGATTTGGGGCAATTGTATTGCAGATGCGCTCGCCGGCGAATTGTACGGAAGTGTATTGCAAGCATTGCAGTGTACGCGAAAATCCAGCAACACATCTGCGCCCTGGAATGTATTGCACGCCGCAAAGGCATTGCAACCCCACAGATCTATTGCGCCAAGTCTATTGCACCACCCCCTTGTCGCTGGACCTCCTTTTGGGCTTGGGCCAACCCGGGCATGGACGACTCGTGGGCGCCCTGTGTGCTGGTTGGGTGTTCCGGGTTTTTTTCTGGTGGGCGCCCGCGGGTGCCTCGCGGGCGCTCCGTGCGCTGGCTGGCTTTCCTGGGTGCACACACAGACTGCACCCCGTACTTCCGCAGAACGTCGAGTTCGTCCCATAGCTTTCCCGTATAACCGACTCTACACCCGTGCCGAAGCCAAACTTAACGGTACATCTTCGCATGTGGATTTTCATCACCATCACGCACGATTGTCAACCGTTGAAATGAGTCATACCATCCCAGCCAGTCCCCTTATCGGCCCCTCCCCTGCGTCCCTGTCAAAGAACGCTGTGCAAAACACTGGTTTTGACCTTGCACGTGCATGTTCAATGCGCTCCTACCAAATCATACAATGCGGGCCGCGCGCGCGCGGGTACATGTCGAAATCCCTCCAAAAACGTTAGTTCTCAAATCGTGTTCACGCAGATCGTATCACCACATGCGAAAAGTTGTTGTGCGATCGCACTCGATGAACTCATACTATCACTTATACGTGTTTACAATTCTCACCCAGGACCCATTCAATACCGTCTGCTACTTCCAGACTGTATTGCTCGACTTTCGTTGCCTCCCCGACCGCATCTATCTAATGAGGTCAACGTGGGCCACACGTGCGCGCAGGTCGAAGTCATCCAAGACCAGCTTGTGGTCACACCATTTCAGAATAGCGCTCTTCAAAATCACACAGTCAAGCCAAAACCGCGCAGTGAGCATATATCTCAAGTTTGCCCGACGCATCGAGCCTAAGATGTGCGTTCATTGTCATGACCAAGTCCTTGCGTTTCTTGGCCCAGCAGGCAGATGTACCAAAATACGAGGTCGGGGGAGGGACGTTCAATCTATCATTCCCCCACCCCCAGCGCCCGTCCCCCCCTCCTCCTCCTCCTCCTCCTCCTCCTCCTCCTCCTCCTCCTCCTCCTCCTCCCCCTACTCCTCCTACCCCCGGGGCGCCCGCCCGAGCGCGGTGGCGGAACCGCGCGTCTGCGCTGCTGGTATATCAGGCTTACCTTTACATCATGATCATTTGCGCACCCGAAACGTGGATTTGCGTGAGAAGGTCGGGGGCGCGCAGGCTTTTTTTTGTCAGCGATCCCCTGGGGGCCTGAACGATTTATACACCACATCGGCACAGATGGCCGATGACGACCAGCCCTCAGCCGTTGAACGCCGTAAACATACAGCTCGGCGCGCCGTCGCCAAATCCATGGATCGGGGAAGTGCCCTCCCCCAAATGCGGCCGGTACCGCATCGCTCGGCAGGGGGAATCTGCGAGTTCCCATGGAAGCGGGGCCCGTCGCTAATCCACGCCCCCTTGATCCATGTTTGCGATCGCGTGAGAATGGTCCGTGCGTCATTGCGCCTGTGAGGTTTTGCTAGCAAGTTCCGACAGGCAACTGCACTCAGTCTCGTGAGCACGGCCAAACAACTGCGGGTGGGCGGGCGAGGTGTTTGGTCGAGCATTGTGGGCAACAACTTCAAGTTCTTCACATAAATTGCGTCACGTAGCTTGCGCCGCGTAGCACACACCACAAACATTCGCCGAATGAATTATAAACTCACCCTCCCCGGCCGAGGCCAGGGTTCGCGCTGCCCCTCGGCCTGTGGTGTTTTCCCAAATGTATTCTGCGCGATCGCTAAGCATAAATACTTCGTAGTGCCATGCCAGCCAGGCCGTTCTCGACCACCACCCCGCCATCTCCTGCAAAGAATGCAATGAAGTGCGCGTGCGCTGACTTAAGAAGAACATGGTGTTAAAACTACCAGTGGAACACACCACGCGGGCCGTATATGCGCGAGCCGCCGCGCGCGCATGTCAGAACTATGCAAGCACAAATGTCTTTAAATAAACAGATCCAAGGCGTCACACTTGAAACGCGACCGAATACCAAATGATACCCCCATCGAAAAATTACCGGGCTTCAACACAAGACAGTCCAAACACAAATCATCCTTTTTCTAATAAAGAATTGCTGGGTTTCTGCGCGCGCACTCTCTAAACTCATATAGACTCGAGGGTTGTTGGGCCATTCTGACATTAGAACTCATGCGGGCCACCCGCGCGAGCGCATGTCGAAAACATCGGATCCCACACACCAACACGCACGCGCGCGCATTCGCCGAAACCATGCATACAAAAACCATCCGCGTTTGGCCGTTGTGGCGACTTACTGCATGCGGTCCACATTCGCGCGCATGCCGAACAACTGGACAACCATCGCGCGCACCCGTCAACTGTGTTAAATACTACAGTGCGGGCCACATGTGCACATTTCCGTACGCGCACGTCGAAATCCGTCCAACACCATTGGTTTGTAATTCTGTAAATTCAAATGTGTTCATCCATATGTGGAACCGAATTCCTGTTTCACCGGATTCATGCCAACCAATATTTTGAAATTTCTGCGCGTGCGCACTTCATCATCACCCTCATTATCACTATCGTTAGCGTCGTCGCCAAGGCCGTCATTGCCATCGTCCCCATCACCATCATCACCATCATCAGCATCATCCCTGTCATCACCATCATCACCACCGTCGTCATCATCGTCATTATCGATGCCGTCTCTTTTGTAATCGTCGCCACGGCCGTCGCCACTAACATCATCGACGTGATCGCCGATGTCCTCGTCACTATCATCACACACCCGCCCGAACCATGAACCTGCATGAGAAGGACCTGCGCGTCACTGCACCACTTGCAGTTAGCGAGCAACTTCCGACAGCCCACGCAACCTGCGCGAATTTGCCAGCATGCTGCAGGTAGGTGGGTGGATGCTTGCTCGAAAACGGGATGTGGCCGCGCGCGGGGGCAAATCACATTAATTGCACTACGTAAGCTCCTTTCTTCATCAGAGAAAAATCAACGCTACCATCTTCCAAGACCCGGATTGTAAAAAATCAGCCCTGTGGTAATGCAGTTTGCATAGAACGCTGTTCGGCCTTATCGCTAGCTTCCCCTATGAATTCAGATCAACCGGCCCGACTTGTATCGACATCTCCCGTCACTACTGTCAAATGAGACCATGCGCGCGACATGGTTTATGTTACAAGATTTGTCCAACAATCCGTTGCAAACAATGACTCAGCAAACGCCACACCCGCGCGCACAAGTCGAAATGGTGCCAAACACATTATTCAGGCAAGCGTTTCAACACATGAGCATCAACACCTGTTGTTCTGTGTAAACAAGACTATTGCAAATTTGTTGCCCGCGCACGCTTGCTGAAAGCATTTGAGACACCACCTGAGTTTAGCAACCTTCCCAATACGCACGTTCTCATCTCACCACGAGGTGCATCCGCGTTGACCTAACATGCGCCCAATGAGTGTGTCCGTATCGGCTAACATTATGTGGGCGACATGCGCGCGGCGCCGCGCGCTCGTGCCTAAGTAGTTTCCACGTCTACTGACCAGGAGTTCGGACTCTTCGGACACATGTGAACGGCCATACGCTTTCAACATAACTCAATAACACATTTGCAAATTCCTGAACTTCTGGTCGCCTGCACGCAACATTACCCTTATCAACGCAATCACATCACCACCGTTATCATCGTCGTCAATTGCCGCCATTGCCGCCGTCATTATCACCGTCAGCTTCATCACCGGCACATGGGCATCGTCATCGTCATCTTCGTCACCATCACCGGCGCCGCCATTGGCCTTCCCGTCGTCATCGTTATCATCGCAACCATCATCGCTATTATCATAATCGTTGCCGCCGTTGTCGACGTTGTCATGATCGCACGCCCGAGTCACCGACCCGCATTTAAGTGCCCGCGCGCCAGCGCGGCATTTGAGACGCGCTGGGAACTTCTCATCGGTAAGCGCCATCGCGGCCGCGTCAGCTGCGTCAAACCAGCTGGCCGCTCTGCGCGCGAACGTGCCCGCGCCAGCGTGGCCGTGGAGACGCGTTCTCAATTTCCAATCGGGACCCGCATCGTGACCGGATGGGTTTTGCCAAACAGTTTGCGGGTGGGAGTGTGGGATGTTTGGGCGAGATTGGAATTGAAAACTTCCAGTTATTTATCGTTACTTGCACCGCTCAGCTTGCGCAAAGTAAGCTGCACCACGTAAGTGCCTTCTCCTACGAAGGAATTCGACTCTACCCCCCCAAAGCCAGGTTTTGCGGCACCCCTTGGCGAAATGCTTTTCACACATGAGCGATGCGCGGGAGATCATCCCAAAGATCAAATCGTGTCGTCCCCAGTCGACTTGTATCGACCGCGATACACATGTAATGATCTAATAAGTGAGTTGGGTAACGGCCCCTGTCAAATAATACGATGCGCGCGCGGCAGCGCGCGCATATCAAAATAATTCAAACACAACTGGTGCCCGAACACGTTTAAAGCAATGCCATTGGGAGGCTTTCAGGGGCCCAACGTTCATGTCTGCAGCGGGCTGCACAATTTTCTGCGCGGGCACGAGCCGAGATTGCACATAAAAAACCATCGGTGTTTGGACAGCGTGACACATGGCGGATTCCGGAATCCCTGAACCCAACAACGTTCTCATCTCTTATGTGGCGCATCCTTTCCTTTCGCCGGCTTCCGCCGGCCTTCCGCCGAGCTTCCGCCCAGCGTCCGCCAGCGGAGGCGGCCTCGTTTTACTTCCGAAGCCTTCCGCCGCGGGAGAGATGACATCTCTGTCTTTTTCCCCACATCCAAAGTGGGGTTCTTGTTCCCCACATCCAAAGTGGGGTTCTTGTTTTCTCTGCACACCCCGCGCAGGAACACTCACCCCACCCCCTCTCCTCTTCTGCCTCATCATGCGGATGAGAATTCCGTCGTCACTTTTGGGCTCCTGGGGCGTGAATTTGGAGGAAGTATCAGGCGGGAGCGTCGTCTGTGAGTGAATTGCGAGGAAGTCTCAGGCGGGAGCCCCCTCCCTATGGGTCCCGCACTTCATGTTGGTAATCCGAGGCGGGTCATCGGAACCTTGTAACTGTCGTCACTTTTGGGCTCCTGGGGCGTGAATTTGGAGGAAGTATCAAGCGGGAGCGTCGTCTGTGAGTGAATTGCGAGGAAGTCTCAGGCGGGAGCCCCCTCCCTATGGGGCCCGCACTTCATGTTGGTAATCCGAGGCGGGTCATCGGAACCCTGTAACTGTCGTCACTTTTGGGCTCCTGGGGCGTGAATATGGAGGAAGTATCAAGCGGGAGCGTCGTCTGTGAGTGAATTGCGAGGAAGTCTCAGGCGGGAGCCCCTCCCTATGGGGCCCGCACTTCATAATCCGAGGCGGGTCATCGGAACCTGTAACTGTCGTCACTTTTGGGCTCCAGTATCAAGCGGGAGCGTCGTCTGTGAGTGAATTGCGAGGAAGTCTCAGGCGGGTATGGGGCCCGCAGATCATGTTGGTAATCCGAGCGGGTCATCGGAACCCTGTAACTGTCGTCACTTTTGGGCTCCTGGGGCGTGAATTTGGAGGAAGTATCAAGCGGGAGCGTCGTCTGTGAGTGAATTGCGAGGAAGTCTCAGGCGGGAGCCCCCTCCCTATGGGGCCCGCACTTCATGTTGGTAATCCGAGGCGGGTCATCGGAACCCTGTAACTGTCGTCACTTTTGGGCTCCTGGGGCGTGAATGTGGAGGAAGTATCAAGCGGGAGCGTCGTCTGTGAGTGAATTGCGAGGAAGTCTCAGGCGGGAGCCCCCCTATGGGGCCCGCACTTCATGTTGGTAATCCGAGGCGGGTCATCGGAACCCTGTAACTGTCGTCACTTTTGGGCTCCTGGGGCGTGAATATGGAGGAAGTATCAAGCGGGAGCGTCGTCTGTGAGTGAATTGCGAGGAAGTCTCAGGCGGGAGCCCCCTCCCTATGGGGCCCGCACTTCATGTTGGTAATCCGAGGCGGGTCATCGGAACCCTGTAACTGTTGTCACTTTTGGGCTCCTGGGGCGTGAATATGGAAGAAGTATTCAGCGGGAGCGCCGTCTGTGAGTGAATTGCGAGGAAGTCTCAGGCGGGAGCCTCTCCCTATGGGGCCCGCACTTCATGTTGGTAATCCGAGGCGGGTCATCGGAACCCTGTAACTGTCGTCACTTTTGGGCTCCTGGGGCGTGAATATGGAAGAAGTATTCAGCGGGAGCGCCGTCTGTGAGTGAATTGCGAGGAAGTCTCAGGCGGGAGCCTCTCCCTATGGGGCCCGCACTTCATGTTGGTAATCCGAGGCGGGTCACGTGGCCGTCAGTAGAGGTAAATATCAGCCGGTGCGCCGGCGACTGCTCGTGGCCGTCAGTGGAGAATTGCCGCGGTTCCAAGAGATCTTTCCCACGACCTGGGCACTCTTTCGGGACTCTCTCTCCTCCTCTTGTGTAGCCTCCTATCTCCGAATTGCATAACCTCTGGTGCGCCAGCGACTGCCCGTGGCCGTCAGTAGAGGTAAATATCAGCCGGTGCGCCAGCGACTGCCCGTGGCCGTCAGTGGAGAATTGCCGCGGTTCCAAGAGATCTTTCCCACGACCTGGGCACTCTTTCGGGACTCTCTCTCCTCCTCCTGTGTAGCCTCCTTCCTCCGAATTGCATAACCTCTGTCCAATACAGCTACAGAATTTCAGGCACGATGTCTGCATCGTGCTGCTCGTTCAAGGACTGTTGCTGCTGATCACTCCTATCATTCACTGTGCTCCACAGAATGGCAGTGCGAAGACGACTGACAAAATGGGCAGAATGGCAGAATGGCAGATCTGGGAGCGAGCACCTGCAAGGGTTCTCTTTGCCAGGCGGGAGCGAGCACCTGCAAGGGTTCTCGTTGCCGTTTGCCGATCTATCTGGGAGCGAGCACCTGCAAGGGTTCTCGTTGCCAGGCGGGAGCGAGCACCTGCAAGGGTTCTCGTTGCCGTTTGCCGATCTATCTGGGAGCGAGCACCTGCAAGGGTTCTCGTTGCCAGGCGGGAGCGAGCACCTGCAAGGGTTCTCGTTGCCGTTTGCCGATCTATCTGGGAGCGAGCACCTGCAAGGGTTCTCGTTGCCAGGCGGGAGCGAGCACCTGCAAGGGTTCTCGTTGCCGTTTGCCGATCTGGGAGCGAGCACCTGCAAGGGTTCTCGTTGCCAGGCGGGAGCGAACACCTGCAAGGGTTCTCGTTGCCGCTTGCGTTTGGCCGGAGTAGCACCTGCAAGGGTTCTATTTCCGGCCGCGGGAGCGAACACCTGCAAGGGTTCTCGTTGCCGCTTGGATTACGACGACGACGACGACGGCGACGGCGGCAGCGGCGGCGAAAAACGACGGCGACGACGACAACAACGACGTACTCTGTTGATTCGTATCGTTTTCACCACCTCTCTAACACCGATGTTGCAATGGAATAAGGGGTCACTAACGCAATTTTTTCCCCACATCCAAAGTGGGGTTCTTGTTTTCTCTGCACACCCCCGCGCAGGAGAGAGATCTCACTCACCCCCTCTTCTCCTCGCACTCATTCACACACACATCATCATCACTCGCACTCTCTCACACGCTCACGAACATCATCGTCATCATCGGTATCGGCATCATCCTCATTCAAACATCATCATCGCCACCACCACCCACAATCAATCATCATCCTCTTCACCACTCATCTTCACCACCACTCATCATCCTCATCCTCATCATCGTTGAGTAAAGTGTGAGGAAGTCTCAGGCGGGAGCCCCCTCCCTATGGGGCCCGCAGATCATGTTGGTAATCCGAGCGGGTCATCGGAACCCTGTAACTGTCGTCACTTTTGGGCTCCCCAAGCCTGAAAATGGAGGAAGTCTCAGGCGGGAGCCTCGTCTGTGAGTGAATTGGGAGGAAGTCTCAGGCGGGAGCCCCCTCCCTATGGGGCCCGCAGATTCATGTTGGTAATCCGAGCGGGTCATCGGAACCCTGTAACTGTCGTCACTTTTGGGCTCCTCAAGCCTGAATATGGAGGAAGTCTCAGGCGGGAGCCTCGTCTGTGAGTGAATTCTGAGGAAGGCTCAAGCGGGAGCCCCCTCCCTATGGGGCCCGCAGATCATGTTGGTAATCCGAGCGGGTCATCGGAACCCTGTAACTGTCGTCACTTTTGGGCTCGTCAAGCCTGAATTTGGAGGAAGTCTCTGGCGGGAGCCTCGTCTTTGAGTGAATTGTGAAGAAGTCTCAGGCGGGAGCCCCCTCCCTATGGGGCCCGCAGATCATGTTGGTAATCCGAGCGGGTCATCGGAACCCTGTAACTGTCGTCACTTTTGGGCTCCTCAAGCCTGAATATGGAGGAAGTCTCAGGCGGGAGCCTCGTCTGTGAGTGAACTGCGAGGAAGTCTCAGGCGGGAGCCCCCTCCCTATGGGGCCCGCAGATCATGTTGGTAATCCGAGCGGGTCATCGGAACCCTGTAACTGTCGTCACTTTTGGGCTCGTCAAGCCTGAATTTGGAGGAAGTCTCTGGCGGGAGCCTCGTCTTTGAGTGAATTGTGAAGAAGTCTCAGGCGGGAGCCCCCTCCCTATGGGGCCCGCAGATCATGTTGGTAATCCGAGCGGGTCATCGGAACCCTGTAACTGTCGTCACTTTTGGGCTCCTCAAGCCTGAATATGGAGGAAGTCTCAGGCGGGAGCCTCGTCTGTGAGTGAACTGCGAGGAAGTCTCAGGCGGGAGCCCCCTCCCTATGGGGCCCGCAGATCATGTTGGTAATCCGAGCAGGTCATCCAAAACCTGTAACTGTCGTCAATGTTGGGTTCTCGCGCTGCCAGAACGCAGTTCCCAGGCCACACTTTGGATGCAACAAGGAAGTTTTTGGGCTCCTCAGGTCGCCGAGGTGCTGCGACAGGGCGCCGAAGGCGCCGACGACGACGGCCAGGCCGAGGCGCGGGCGCGGAGCTTGCTGATGTTCAGGCCCAGCGAAAGGGAGTTCACATGGCAGAGCTCGGGGGCGCACAGCGTGCGCCGCTCGGGGTTCACCCTGACGCACGCGTCCTACCTGACCTCCACGCTGTCGCAGGGCCAGACGCTGCGCAAGGGCGTCACCATCGACTGCGCGAGAGACGAGGACGCTGGCCGCACGGGCATGTCGGACGAGCAGTGGTGGCTGCACCTCTACGTCATGTTCTCCCGCGCCACGTGCATGCGGAACATGCTGATCCTGCGGCCGCCGCCGCGAGAGTTCCTGGAGTGCGGGCCGCCGGCGTCCCTGCGGAAGGCGCTCCTGGAGTTCGACAAGAGAACGGTTTTGTCCAGGGCGGAGGCGAAGCAGCTCGCGGCAGAGCTGGGCTTCGTGCTGCCTTCCGCCTGAGCGCGGCTGCGCCTCGCTCGAAGCCCGCGGGGTTGTCCCAACGGCTTGGTCTTGCGCGCCAACGGCTCGCGGGGTTGTCCCGACAGCCTGGCCCGCGGGGTTGTCCCAACGGCTGCGCGACGTGACCTGTAGAGAACGCGCCTGTGCTGGCCGTGGCGGCGACGGCGCCGAGGAACATCGACATGCGCGCTCATGCAACAGGAAGGGGAGGAGGTGGCGGGGCGCGGAACAAACAGGGGGGCGAGGATGGGGACAACGTAAGGAGTGGAAGGGGGGCCCGCGCCAAGGCGAGAGGAAATATACGCAGAAGAGACAGCCAGGACGCCTCACCAACCACGAGGACGACGGTGATGGCTTTTTCCAGATTCGCCCAGAGGATTCTTATGTGGGGTTCTTCCGTCGGAGTAATTTTCTCTGCGCACCCCGCGCAGGAACACTCACCCCACCCCCTCTCCTCTTCTGCCTTCGCACACACTCACTCACTCATCATCATCACCACTCACTCACACTCACACTCACTCACACTCTCTCATCATCAACATCAGCATCACCTCTCATCATCCTCACCACAATCAATCATCCTCTTCACCACTCATCTTCACCACCACTCATCATCCTCATCCTCATCATCGTTGAGTAAAGTGTGAGGAAGTCTCAGGCGGGAGCCCCCTCCCTATGGGGCCCGCAGATCATGTTGGTAATCCGAGCGGGTCATCGGAACCCTGTAACTGTCGTCACTTTTGGGCTCCCCAGGCCTGAAAATGGAGGAAGTCTCAGGCGGGAGCCTCGTCTGTGAGTGAATTGGGAGGAAGTCTCAGGCGGGAGCTCCCTCCCTATGGGGCCCGCAGATTATGTTGGTAATCCGAGCGGGTCATCGGAATAAGTCAACCTGTGTAACTCACTGGGCTCCTGTCAAGTGGAGGAATCGTCTGTGAGTGAAGGAAGTCTCAGGCGGGAGCCCCCTCCCTATGGGGCCCGCAGATCATGTTGGTAATCCGAGCGGGTCATCGGAACCCTGTAACTGTCGTCACTTTTGGGCTCGTCAAGCCTGAATTTGGAGGAAGTCTCTGGCGGGAGCCTCGTCTTTGAGTGAATTGTGAAGAAGTCTCAGGCGGGAGCCCCCTCCCTATGGGGCCCGCAGATCATGTTGGTAATCCGAGCGGGTCATCGGAACCCTGTAACTGTCGTCACTTTTGGGCTCGTCAAGCCTGAATTTGGAGGAAGTCTCTGGCGGGAGCCTCGTCTTTGAGTGAATTGTGAAGAAGTCTCAGGCGGGAGCCCCCTCCCTATGGGGCCCGCAGATCATGTTGGTAATCCGAGCGGGTCATCGGAACCCTGTAACTGTCGTCACTTTTGGGCTCCTCAAGCCTGAATATGGAGGAAGTCTCAGGCGGGAGCCTCGTCTGTGAGTGAACTGCGAGGAAGTCTCAGGCGGGAGCCCCCTCCCTATGGGGCCCGCAGATCATGTTGGTAATCCGAGCAGGTCATCCAAAACCTGTAACTGTCGTCAATGTTGGGTTCTCGCGCTGCCAGAACGCAGTTCCCAGGCCACACTTTGGATGCAACAAGGAAGTTTTTGGGCTCCTCAGGTCGCCGAGGTGCTGCGACAGGGCGCCGAAGGCGCCGACGACGACGGCCAGGCCGAGGCGCGGGCGCGGAGCTTGCTGATGTTCAGGCCCAGCGAAAGGGAGTTCACATGGCAGAGCTCGGGGGCGCACAGCGTGCGCCGCTCGGGGTTCACCCTGACGCACGCGTCCTACCTGACCTCCACGCTGTCGCAGGGCCAGACGCTGCGCAAGGGCGTCACCATCGACTGCGCGAGAGACGAGGACGCTGGCCGCACGGGCATGTCGGACGAGCAGTGGTGGCTGCACCTCTACGTCATGTTCTCCCGCGCCACGTGCATGCGGAACATGCTGATCCTGCGGCCGCCGCCGCGAGAGTTCCTGGAGTGCGGGCCGCCGGCGTCCCTGCGGAAGGCGCTCCTGGAGTTCGACAAGAGAGCGGTTTTGTCCAGGGCGGAGGCGAAGCAGCTCGCGGCAGAGCTGGGCTTCGTGCTGCCTTCCGCCTGAGCGCGGCTGCGCCTCGCTCGAAGCCCGCGGGGTTGTCCCAACGGCTTGGTCTTGCGCGCCAACGGCTCGCGGGGTTGTCCCGACAGCCTGGCCCGCGGGGTTGTCCCAACGGCTGCGCGACGTGACCAGTAGAGAACGCGCCTGTGCTGGCCGTGGCGGCGACGGCG